AATGTGGTATATACATACAATGGAATATTCACTCTTAAAAGTAATGAAATTCTAACACATGCTACAATGTGCATTTTGAAAACATTACGCTAAGCGAAATAAGCCAGCACATAGGACCAAATATTGTGTAATTTTACTCATACAATGTACCTAGGACACACAAATTCATAGAAAGTACGGTAGAGGTTGCTAGGCTAGAGGGGCTAGAAGTGGGACAGGAATGGGGAGTTACTGTTTAGTGGGTACAGAATTTGTTTAGGATGTTCAGAAATGTATAGTGGTAATGGCTGCACATTGTGAATGTACTTAATGCCACTAAAATGTATATTTAAAATGGTTTAAATGGCAATTTTTGTTATATACAATTTGAAAGATGCTGAATTAGCTCTTACAACTGTACTACCATAAGCATAAGCTAACAGGATAACGTGGTAGACCTAAACCTTAAGGACATTCATTCATTATTTACTGAACACCTATGTGCCATACCCTTACGTAGGCACTTGGGACTTACAAGATATACGCTTTCATGTGCCTGATAGTCAAACAGACAACAAAGATAACATCTTGTGCTAGGTAACAACATATGTTAGGTAACACATAGAAAAATAAAGCAGAACTAAGGGAGATATTGGGTTCCATTCTTCAATAGAAAGGTGAAAATAAATCTCATTAAAATGATACTGTCATGCAGATATCCAAAGCATTCCAAGCAAGGAAAACAGCCCATACAAAGGCTGAGAGAGGAATATGCCTGGACTGTTTGAAAAAGGCCAGGGGAATTCCCTGGCTGTTCAGTGGTTAGGACTCTTGAGTTCTCACTGCCGAGGGCCCAGGTTCAACCCCTGGTGGGGGAACTAAGATCTCACAAGCCACGTGGCATGGCCAAAAAAGGAGGCGAGAATGGCTGGAATGCAGCGAGCATGGGGAAAGGTACTGGGAGGTCTGGTTAGACAGGTAATAGGAGCCAAATTATGGAGGAACCTTTTAAGGACTGGAGTTTTACTCTAGTACAATTGGGGAGCCATAGCAGGATTCTGAACAGAAACGACAGAAGCTCTGACAGCTGTGCTAAGAACAAACTGCAGGGAGGCAGGAGTGGAAAGCACAGAGAGCTGTTAGGAATCACTGCAGTAATACAGGCAAAGAATGAGCGCAGTGCAAGCAGTAATGGGCTGTCAGATTCTAGGTATTTTCTGTGGTGGACAAGATTTCCTGATGTACTGGATATGGGGTGTGAGAAGAGTCAATAATTTCAGGTTTTGACCCTAAGCATTTGAAATGATGTTGATGTTAGCTGTTAAGGACGACTGTGGGCTGAGCAGGTGGTGGGGAATGGGTGAGGATGAAAGAATTCAACCTTGGCATGTTATGTTTGGGATGCCTGTTTGATATTCAAGTAGAGATGTCGGTAGACACTTAAATCTCCAGTTTGAGAAAAAGGTCTGAATCGGAAATATAAATTTAGAAACTGACAGCATATTAATACTTAGAGCCATGAGACAGGAAAAGAGGACCAAGGAATGCAGGGAGGCTAAGCCTCCTGGGAGTACCCCACAGGTCAAAGGTTAGGGAAGAGAAACAGAAGACTAAGAAGGATGTAAGGAATAATAAAATTTTAAATTAAAAATCTTCATTTATGACCCCATTTTATCTGCCTATTTATGTTGAACTGATCAACTTCTAATAAGAGGGCATGTTCCATCCTCAACATTCACGTAAGCATGTGAAACAACTGGTAAAAGGTACCTTCAGGTCATCTCACCCAGGGGTGAGGAGTTGTGCCATTTATCTCCCTCCTCCCTTTAGTGTTCATCTACATACTCAGATCATTTAGAAAGCCAAGGACAACATAAAACTGATTACCACAGAAGTTTATAGGTAGGCAGTTTCCCGGTGTGTAGATATACATAGCATGTTGGCTGCCAGCCATCCTGAAACAATTTCTGAGATGCATAAAAATGATTTCAACAAATGTTTACAATGGATACACTATTATTAACTGTGAAAAGCCAGTCATCACTAAATTCAGCAAATAACAATTAGCTCCAGTCTTCAGTCTGCAAATCACTTTCTAATAAAGTGAGCATGTTCTTAGACTAAGTTAGATGCTTAGTTGGAATTTCCAGCATTTTGTTTTCATTTTCTCCCTTACTTGGGAAAAGTTGAAGAAAGAGTAATGTAAAATGACTTACCAGTTTCAGGGGAAAAAGAACTAAAGTGGTACACAGTGATACTCGAGTTTCTATACTGCAATGCGGTGCGGCCCAATTCCTGAGTCAATGCCAAATTTTCCCACAATGTTAAATTAACATTTCCACAAATGTTACTCATTGATCTTATATCTAATAGGACAGCTACAGGAATTATGTCAGTAGAACCTGTACAACTATTAATATGAAATTTTTTAAAATAAAAATAACGAGATACAACTGAGTTGCTATGGTCCGTCCTATACAGCACAGTATATTTTACAGAACAGGTATGTTCAGTATTTGTGGAAATGAACATTTTTTGTTTTGTTTTGTTTGGCCGCACTGCACGGCATGTGGGATCTTAGCTCCCTGACCAGGGATCTAAACCCTGCACCTCCCCCCTCCTCCCCCCCTGCCCCGCCCCCGGCGTTGGAACAGCACAGTCCCAAGCACTGGCCAGCCAAGGAAGTCCCAGAAATGAACATTTTAAAGTAATATACTCCTAAATGCTTACAGCTATCAATAAAGCTTTTTAATTTAGCACTTAACAGCAGTGGGGGCTTAGTTTGATAACCATTCAGCACACAAGCTGTGTGGATTTGCAGTCATAAACCTACTCTAACTTCAACTCACCATTCTGCTAGCCATAACCCCTCAAAGCCTGTTGGCCCACTTGTAAAAGGAGAAAACCACCTTGCGTATTCGACAGGGTAAGAAACTCTATCGAGATAATAGGTACAACAGCAATTTTTAAAAAATGCTCATGGATGGACCTTGAGCATATGCTAAGTAAAATAAGCCAGACAAGTACCCTATGATATCATTTATATGCGGAATATAAAAATTCAAACATGTAATGAATCCTGATGGCACTCCCCCCACCCCCCAAAAAACAATGAGGGCATGGGTGATTCTATTCTGCAGCTGGGTTGACAGCCATTAAATTGAAAAATGATGAAGACTCTCCCCATTATTTAGTTTCTTCTCTATTTTAATTGTTACTACAAAGTTATGGCTTTAATCCACATGTCTTCTAAACTCCAAAACCATAACTAATGAATACACGACTACTTGCTATTTCTTGGATCTCAAAGGCATTAAATTCAGTGTCTATCTTTTTCCAGTGTTTCCCATCTCAGGCAATGACATACCTACCACTAAGCTCTAAACATCATCCTTCCAAACTTTCAGTTATTACCAGTTTTGTCTCAAGTCTTTCACCAAATCAACTTTTCTCCACCACTATTATTCCCACTATCTCTCTAGTCAAAGACTCTTGCAATAGTTTCACTGGTTTACCTCATCTATTCTTTACCTGATTTAAGGTGCAGCCAAGCTTTCAGAAATGCTTTGACACTACACACACTTCAGTGATGCCACATCATTCCTGGGACAATCTTTAGTGTGATTTACAAGCCCTGCAGAGTCTTGGTCCTTGTCTGTTTCTTAAGTCCCACACACAGGCCATGTTCTTCACTCCCTACTTCAGTCAAATCAGTATTCTTCCTAATATGCTCCCTCATACCAAAAGGTCTTTTGTGCAAACCTCCCTTTGCCTAGAAGGTATTCCCCTTCCCTTTTCCCCAAGTTAAATCTTATTCCTTCTTCAGGACTCGGTGTAACTTAAGGAAGTAAACTATTTTCTCAAGTTTTCCTATAAGTCATAGGTTTTTTGAAAGGTTTGTAAAAAATATACATGTATTCCTTATCTAACACTGAAAATAGCAACTGACTGGAATTGATATAACATGAAAATTCAAGAACTATTAGTGAAATATAAAAGAGAAACAAAGATACAAGACAAGACAGCATTGGAAACTATTTCTAATATCATTTACTTCTGGAATTAAAACTAGAAGACTGGGAAAATTCTGTCTATGAATCCTTTATTATTATTATTATTATTTGGTCACACCACATAGCTTGCAGGGATCTTAGTTCCCTGCCCAGGGATCGAACCTGTGCCCCTGCAGTGGAAGTTCCGAGTCTTAAGCATTGGACTGCCAAGGAATTCCCTTACAAATCCTTTATTAAAAAGCTCCCTCTTTCACTAAATCAGGCCTTGACTGACTCCAATTAAGTTTTGTGTAGCACCTGATTAAAAGATGTTCCCAATAATCTTTTCTTTCAAATACTCTTCAAGAGACTCAATTAACTCAATGCAAGTGAGGATCAATGAACACAATCCTCTTTAAAATGTAAACATGTAAAAAAGAATATTAGGGAAACTAATAAAACCTCAAGCACAATTTTAATGGGGTCGCAGAAAGTGATCCTAGTAATGGTCATTTATTTCTTATATCGTTATTTCAATTGTTCAGAATTGCTACCTTCAACATAGACTGAATCCTACAGATGAGAAATCTGGGGTCTGATTTAACACCTGGCACACAAATCTTTATTGAAATCATAATTTGTTACTGTTTAAAAAGTACTCTATTACTTCAAAGCTACTATGAAATATTTTTGCTGCAACCTAGAAACATTTTTACTTGATTAAAGTCTAGTAAGGTTAATAATCCTCTAAAATTAGACAAACATTTTCTGAATCTTAGACTTAAAAATAAAGCAGCCTAGAAATCTTTTAGGTTTCTAAATCCTAATTTAGTCACATATCATCTGCTTTAAAGACCATCAAAAGGCCAATACAAAAGAAAATGACCAGTATCTAGGAGGCTGGCTTAAAGATAAAATACAAACAGTACAATTTCTGTTATACTGCATATTGCAATTAGATATGAATTATTCACACCATACACAATGGTTAAAAAATTATAGATCAAACAAACAAGACAAACTGCAAAGTATTATAAAAACTGTGTTTTATTTTCAATACAAGATAAATACCATGCTCATTACTAGTGCAGTTTAAAGGCCAACAATGGCCATATAGCAAACTGCTGAACAGTCACCTAAATGCTAAAGAAAGAAAAGACAGAAAGTAAACATTAAACACAAAATTGCAATTACAAACATTTTAATAAAATGGGATAAGCTTTTTAATAGAAGCGAATATGGAAGTCTACTTCTCAGGGACACCAAAAAGATGTTTATTTGATCAAATATCACCTTACCTTTTGCACAGAAATCTTATTGTGAAGTCACCATAGAGTCAATAGCTAAAATTTTAAGACTTTCTTTGGCCTTCTGGTATTAGTCAAATTATTTACAAACCATGGTTCAGTAATGCATGTATACTGGTAATATGATACAGTTTTTTGTTAAGGGCTTTCGATTAAAAATTGTAAAACAACTTTGTAAGGCTGTACAAGGCTGTAAACTACTTTGCTAATATACCATGGAATGAAGAGGAAGAAGGAATAATAGACCTTTCTTTAAGGCTAAAGTCAATGTTATAGATGCATTCCTTAGAATACATTATGATTTACCCCAAAGGATCCTTTCCCATTAAATACCACCTGAGTACTACAATTTTCAAAGTAAAAAAATAAACACGAATTCACCATTTTAAAATAATTTAACTTACAGAAAGAATGCTGAGAAGTGTTACGCAGTAACAATGAGACAAAAAGAACACATCTTCAAAATGAAATGTTTTCACTAAATGCAGGGTCTGTCCAATTATGAAATTAATGTAAAACATTTACACCCATGGCGGAGTTTTAGGATACTCCCACAGGAAAAACTCTCCGTAGTATTTATTATCTGCAGATACCATTTCAAGATTTGTGTGACTTCAATTAAACTCCACCTAACATTTTAAAAAACTTCCATTACAATATGCTAATTAATATAGCAGGAAGTCTTTAAAATATTAACATCTGTCTATACCTAACCAAGTGTTTATATGTCCCATACAAAAACCATGGTAGCTGCATACTCAGAGTGAATGCCAACAACCTGAAATTTTAAAGAAATTGGTTAAGACAAACCTAAATCAATCTGAACAAGATACAACTGCCTGAATATTTTGAATATTCATAGAAATTCATATTGCTTCTTTCTAATACCAAGAAAGAAGAGTATAAGAACTTCCTCCCAGAAGCCTAGACATTTTAGACATTTTAACACATTTTCTATTTCAACTTACAATAAGATACTTTAATCCTGAATCTTTTGAGTTCTCTAAATCAAAAATCTCACATTACAAACATTAAGGAATGCTATATGTAAGGCCACATCTTAATAAATTTATAATTTTTGGTTGAATATTTATTAAAAAATTAGTCTAAGGCTTCTAAGAGTCAAGTTGCTAAAAAATAAAATACACCAGTGTTTAAACTGAAGGTTAACGTAAAAAACAACACACACACACACTGTAAAAACAGAAAAATACTTTGCTACAAAAATCCCACTTAATATATTTTAGCACAAAAATGTCTAATGTGTACAATGGGTAAGCGTGCACTTAAAGTACATACAACTATGGGAAATATTACAGATGGCTATGGGATGCAAATGAACTTAATGAATAAAATTTAAAAGGCAGTTATCTGTAAAACAGCTAGGATCTCAATACTGTATTCTCAGTAAAGAAACAGAACATAAACTTCCTCTTAAAATAACAAGCTGAAGCTTAAAACACAAAAGTGAAGCCATCTTACAAGATACAGAAAACGCAATGATCATTCAGGTATGAAAACCAAAATGTCAGAGTGCGCCAACAGAAAGTCTTGTAGTAGCATCTCATTGTATAAAACAGTATGTATTTAGGTTATTGGCACATTTAAATACATAAGGGAAAGAAAGTCTTTACCCTTCCAACAAATTTTCCCCCTCACTACAAAATGTTATACAACATTCATTAAAATCTCCATGTTTATTTTAAGAACTGACCTTAAACTAGTAGAAAACAAAGCAATATTCTCCACAGGAGAATTAACTGAAAGTAATACCTTAAGCTACAATCTATAAGTTTTTTGTGAACTCCAAATTGTAGTTAACTGCTTAAGAATATTCTAGGTAAATGGGCTAAACTATGATCATTAGCCACTGTAACTTACTCCGAATCTTGCTTATAAAAATTGACAAAATAAATACTTATAAATTTATACTGGAATATCCTTTCCAAAACCTATGTCCATTAACCAAAAGCAGCACATTCAATTCAAAGTACTGCTTCAAAAGCAATACCATTCAGGTGCTGCATCACTCATTCGTAACTTTACTGGCTGAAAGGAATGTGATGGCATAGCACTAACAAGTGCTATGGTTTAAAATTAAATTCAGTTTTGTTTTCATATCCACTATAATTATTATTAAGAAGAAATGAAAAGATCTCTGGGACTCTTTTTTTGGTGTCTATGTAGAGATTTATCTCTTTGGATTGTTTTTAAACATTTAAAAAAATTTTCAAATAACATCAGCCCATTAAAAAAAAAAGGGATATGAAGAATAAAACATAGCTTGCATTTTCACCTTCATTGCTATATATTCATGTATCAGATAGAGAAAGACTTGGCAAAAACTGGTCAAATCAAAAAGTTATTCCCTTCTGATAACATTTATAATACACTAACAGCAAACAATTCTAGTACACTCACATTGTCTGCAACAAAAGTCACGTAATGAGATCAGCCAAGTAGGGAGAAGAGTGATATAGTATGAGCAATTAAACGGTTCCACTGATTAAAAAAAAAAAAAAAAAAATGAAAAGGTAAATGAAGGATTTAATTAGTACAAAATTTCCAGTTTTCATTTCAAGTTCAAGCACAGTTAAGATTTTTATGATCCCATTTTTAAATTGTTCAGAGAAAATTGTATCCTTATGGACATTTACTTACCTTTTAAGCTTACTATTAACTAATTCCCTTGTAATATATTTATGTCCATACTTCTTCGCATTACAGCATTGTAATATAAAAAAAATCTAAGAAATAAAACTAACAACATCTATACACAAAGCAAGAAAACTGATTTTGATACAACTCTCAAATGTTAAAAAGGCAACTGCATTTTCAACAAGATAGAACACTTAAAAAATCATTTCTGAGAGCAAACAGTTCTGACAAACACCAATGATTCCATGCACAAATACTCTAACCACAAAATGTTTTAAAAATAAAGCTGGCAATAATATGGATAATTTAAAACAGCTAATTCTGCAAGAACTGGTATGATGGTGGACAACATGAAAGTAAAGAACTGCAGTTCTCTGGAGGGCTTCTAAGGTTGCACTTACATAATATTTAGGGTGCCTAAACAAGCAACGTCCTAAAATTTGGCTATACGTTTAAAAAAAGAAAAAAAAGGAAGTGTATTATCAGAAGATCTCTCAAAGATAATCAGATTTTAAAAACATTAAAAAACATATTAACTTGCTTAAGGATTTTAACTCAAATTTCTGAAGTAATGATTCAGAATGAACTTTCTATAAAAATGTCTAATCAAATTGACACTCTGCCTATGCTAATTTTACAATTAAGAACACATGCTAGCCAGGTGCTTTTAATGTGGGCTTATATGCAAGGCAGGTTTGAAAAAAATCTTTGATTAGGTTAACTTTAGCATGAATTAATAGGTTGCATGAATACACAGAACTCCTTAAACTGTGGAGATCGGTACACCTATAATCTCCTATTACACATATAGGAGAATACAACCCAATGTTAATAAACATCACACCCTTCAGAAATCTATTTCCTGTAACTGGAAAATAAAACTAAGGCTTTCTTTACTCACATTTGTCTGCTGCACGGCTGCCTATATTTACGTTGCCCATGGCTTCAACAATAAACCATAAGCACTATCAATATAAAATAGCTAATAACTGCCACATCAAATCAGAACTGTCAAAATATTTCTTCAATGCTAGCAGTTTACAATTAAGCGTTTCAGTACACCTGTGTTGTAATTAAGCTGCATTACTGTAGCAAATCACGTGTGGGTTTTTACTAAAATGTTAAAACCACAAAACCTTTGTTGACCCCTAACACAATGACTGGGTTGTTATGTTGTGAAATTTCAGTTTTTACAAGTTTACATACCATTCAGCAAAGTCACAAGCTTAACTAGGTAAAAACAGCTAGAAAAGCAGAATATAGAAATATTAAATACCCATGTAATCACCTATTCTAATATCAAAATCAAGGGCAAGAGACACTTAATTAGTATGTTTAATTCACTGAACGCAAGATTAGATTGATGCATATCCAAAAATGCTATTGCAATGTTTTTTTAAAGGACAGTATAAATGTCATAGTAACATTATCTTTAGATATTGCTGAACACAAGACTTTCCCTGAGGTGTAAACATCAAATAACTTGAACAGCTTTACACATCAGCCCCATTAAACAGTTTATTACAACACTACATCTATTGTAATCAAAGTGGTGCTGTTTACAGACATTATCGTATGAACATTTTTAACAAGAACAAACTACTATAAAACAAGCATTTACTTGACGTTTTTTTCCAATTGCTTGCACATTATAATGGCCAAATGTATATAACCAGTAATAAAGTTGCAAAAGCTATAACTTTTTAAATCACACAGGTTTCCTTCAAATAAAACAGGTAAGCAACATAAAAAATAAAAGTAGAGCTACTGGTTACCATTTATGCAGATTTGCTTTATTCAGATCTATTCCTGTTCATTTTATCCATGAATCCTTACAGGTTCAGTTCAATCACAAGAAGCAAACTGCTGGACAAGCGTCATTTTTCCCCCATGAAGACTGTTTTGTCTTGGAAGGTGTTCCTCTTCCTTCAGCTGTAATGTGTCAAAATTTATGATGTAGATTTTGCTATTCCCCATAATACACAGAAAAATGCTGGCTTAACTATACATACACAAGTCGTGCATCTACTTCACTGTTATGTATTCTAACACAAAATAAGAATTAACTGAAACAGTAGCTGCCTTTGTGATGGAGAAAGGCTCCCAAATGTATGTGATTAAAACTGAGACATTCTGATTTCATTCTTCTTAAATATTATTGCCTTATAAATTTAATGACTGAAACGGAAATGAAAATGTAGCAGCTACTGTTTCTGTGAAGATGGAAACATTTATAAGTCATTTTCTAAAGTATGCGTACTACAAAAATAAATGGAAAAACACTTGGATGATTTTAATGTAAATATTATCATTCACCCACATAAATTCTATATAACTCATAAACAATTAAATGAGAACTGAATATAAATGCAATAAATTATTTTACAGATTAGTTGTATTTATTTGACATACAGGAACTTCTGCAAATGTTATAAATCAAACGGTCCTCCATGTTACAAAATTTATAAATATAAGCTCAGTATGCACATTTAAATAAATATGACATCCACGTACAAATCTTTAGACATATACAAATTTATAACATTACTGTCCCTCTATTCCACCTACACTGAAATATCTAATGTAAATATATAAACTAAGCCGAAACAAGCTAAATGGGAATCTACAATGATAAATTTCATTGAAAACTCACATAAAGAAATAAAACCCCAATAAATGAGATAACCTAAAGTTTCAGGAGTACATAAATATGCAAACTTCAGGTAGAGGTTCACAAAAGAAACATTCAGGTAACGTGGATATAAGTGATCACTTGAAACACCAGATATTTAAAATATAAATTCCAAGAGAGTGTTTCAATAATATGATGTAAGAGGCAAAAGGGCACAATGTTTAGTGATAGTATTCCATAAAAGTAACTGAAAAATACTTTTTGCTCTACAATTAAGAGTAATTAATATTCTGTCACAACTATAAATCTTCTTCTATGTCCTTTCCTCCTCAATTAGGGTGTAAGCATCTTAAGAGCATCAGTACACATACGCATTCACACTGCCTAGCAGTAAAAACTTAAATTTTACAACTACAAAATGAAAAAGCAGATGTTATAATCCTGGACTTTTAAATAGTTTTTAATTTGCCCATATTTTTCAAATAGATACTAAGCCATTTCTAATGTTACCTTTCATGTATTTTATCTTATGCTGATAAAGCTTTTGGTGGAATTATTTCATGGAAAAAATCTAGAAAGGTAGCTTCACACATTTTATCTTTACTACTTTGCAATATACGTAAAAAAACTGGTATTGAAGTATTAAAGAGAGACAAGGCATATGTTCTAATCTGAAAAAATAGATTAATGGGAAATTCATAAATCTTATTGCAAAAAGATGTTTATCTCCCTAGTTATTTTATCATGCTGGAAGGGATTTAAATAAGAGGGAAAAATTAAGTCACAGTGAGCAAAACAAAAATACCCAACCCTTCCAAAAAACATGGCATACTCTGCAATTTTATATCACTCTAATGGAGAATTTTTACTATTTTTTAGGTAGAGAATCCTATTGTGAAATTACAACACATATCTTTAGGATGAATGCACTTATCTTTTGTCTTATAGATAGATCTTTACTATTAATAAGTCTCTAATTTTCACCATACAGACAAAATCTGGGGGATAATCTGACAGCTTTTATTTCTATTTCTAAACACTTTACATTTATCCATTTGGAAATACAAAATTTTACAATCTCAAAAAAAAAAAAAAGAAAAAGCAAATTTGAAGGCAATACAACCCATTTCCAATAACCCAATTCCATATTATAGTCTCAAGTTTCTAAATAGAAATCTACATAAACACAGATATCAAAAAGAAGCTTAAAGTGACAAATACATTCAACGGTCATGTTTTCAGAATACCATGTGGTCAAATCTGTAATGTCAAAGCCACACAATTTCTTGCTTTAGCTATCAGTTATAGAAGGAAGATCTATGTAAGCAGTTGTTAAAAAAACTAAGACAGATGGAATCTATGGCTCTTTAATGAAGTATATAAAGTGAGCACTAAGTTAAAATTTCAATACAGAGAAGCACCTGCATTTTGAGATAATGCAAGATCAAGTCAATACTAACAACTCAAATTACAAGTGTTTCTATTAGAAAACTTATCCAAGCAAATTTACTGGTATCAGTTAATTCACCTTTCAGGTAGAAGATTCAAATATATATTAGATATGGATCTTTTACAGGTTTTCACATTAATACACTGAATAAGAAGGATTCTAATATAATTTTAGAGATATACTTTTATTAATGCAGTATAATAAAATTCACTTTTTTCTTAATGAGAGGAAAGGAGATGAAGTGGGCAAAAGAACTAGAAGTATCTAAATACAAGTGAACTCTTTAAAATCAAAATCCCTTCTTGCATTGACTAGAACATATTACAAAATCCTGTTTGTTGTAGATGTTTACAAAAAACTCCCTACTACCAAAACATTTCGTACTTTCATCTTTGCATCTCTGCAGATAGTACTTACCTCATTTTAACTAACGCATTTCATTACACTATAAAACATATACAGGATTGTTGCTCTAGGCAGTTCACTAAATAGTAGAAATAAACTTCACAGTTAAAGAATACCCAGCTTTGCCCAAAAAATTTGACAAAATGGACATTTCAAAATAAGCTGCTGTGTGATTTAGATTTCACTGCGAGAGTTAAAACATGCTACCACCAAGGCAAAGTAGTAAATTTGGACAGCATATATGACACCCTTACTCCTTTTTTGGTTATTAGATTTCCTTTAAACAATGCTAACTATTCATTCAAATCATTATTTATTCAAAACAATCTAATTTACAAACTAGAACAATGGTAGTAAGTTTCACACTGAGATGAAGGTGAGAGATCAAGGTGACTCACATTGGCACTGATTTTTATTTTTTAAACAGGGAACATTAATCATTTGTAAACAAAACCATATTCTTAAACCACAGTGAGCAAAACACACACTATACATCCATTCTAGGATCCCTTTTTACCCTCTTCTCACTTTAATTAACATAACTGTGTAGTCAGGCAGGTTTTGCAAATAATACTAAAAGCAAGGAAAATTAGAGTGAAAATAATGAAAGCTGGCATATCCAGATGAAGCGGTTAGGATATATGGGGAAACAATAAACACAGGGCTGGACAGTATTAGTCAGATCTCAGATGACTTAAGAGTTGCAGAAATAATTTTTAAATCTCATTACCACCCGTATCATTCATCAGATGATTAGAAGAATTTAATTTTCACATAAGACTCGAAGTAACATTAACTCTTGAGGAGATAAAAGCATCTTAACATTTACGCAAGAACTTTTGATTCTTTTGGCTTCCCCCTGCCAAATTAATGCAAAGCTATAAATTGAATAAGGAATGCAAAACACCCTAAATCTTGTGCAATGACAACAAAATCTAAGATCATGGTATTTGTGAAAGGAGAAAAGTAATCATACAGCAAAGGAAAGTATAGTTACTTAACCTATAGCCCGTATATGATGCTTAAAATCTAATCAAAGGAATGGATAATGATGTGAGAATGTAAACATCATGTGTCAGAGAGAGGAAAAGCATGAATAGAGTATTTAAAAAAATAATTTCAGTTCATTACTCTTCAGTATACAAAGAAAAGTGGAACTGTTAACAGAAATCGCTGGGTTGTTCCCAGCAAGTAATAAGAGGAACACAAAAGAAAACAACTATGAAAACAAAATTATTTCTGTAAAAAGCATATAATCTTAAAACACTGAACTACTTTTGTTTTGCTCAGAGTGGTCTGAGAATAGAGGCAGAAATTACAGAATATGAAGCACAATATATTTACATGCTGAAATTTACAATACCGATATTCCCATTAAAATATTATATATTTGAACTTAGATATTCAATGCTTTTAGAAAAACTAATACATTTTTAAAATGAGAGAATGCAATTAACATTACCAACAGTTCAAACACACAAAAAAATTAAGATGGGACAGACATTAACAGCTTGCCAACATCATTTAAGTTTCCAGTTAAATTAAGAACTTGCCCTTTTAGCCATTCATCATCACTTTAATAATAGATTACATTATTGTTTTATTTGCATACAGACTTACTACTGACATTCACTTTAGCTTCCAAGTTACTCTTATTCCATTCAGTCCATTTAAGATTTACATGAAAGTTCAAAAGGACTCATATTTTAAAACTTCTAAAAAAGGTCAATAGACCTCATTATGATGGTGATTAAATGTGCAGATATTTTTTATTTGCTCAAAAAAGTTTTTCACTCAGATATATTTAATCCCAGTCCCTACCCATTTATTCACATCTATGTTCACAATAAATACTGTTTGGTATAGCAAAGGTACAATATTCCAGGATAACAGAATTTTTTGCACTGGAAATGCTTATGTAAAATTTTGCTTGGATGAAGGCACATAACAATATTACAACTCAATTCTGATTAATGCACAAACAAAACATGGGAATTTTGGTATGGTACACATCAGTGATTAAGAAAAAATGTCAACAATAGTTTGCAAGTTAGGAATTCATAGTTAATGTCTGAACGTAATGAAACTCAAACCATGATATAGTTAGGTGTACCCATTACCGGAATGTAATGTTAATTCAAAGTATTTAAAATTAACAATGGACCTTTCAGAAGGAGTTTACTTAACTATGCTAAAACCATTAAGAAGACTTGTTAATTAACTTTGGGTATAAACTGGCTCAGAATGCCCTTGATGGGCATATCCAATCTTGGAGATAACTGAAAATGTATGCAAGTTCCATTATCATGACTTCAGTAACTAGAAGCTTGTTGATAACTGACGAAGTCTAAATAAAAATATAAATTGAAGGACCTGTACCTTACTTTAAATGAAATGGCTGATATACGTTAAACATTTCCCTAAGTTGGCCACAATTCACCTTAAGCACTGATGGGCACTGAGAATTTTTTCATAAGATGGGATCAGATCTATAACTGGGGGGTGGGGTGGGCGGGAGTGGGAGAGGCAGAGGGCTACATCTTTAAAATTTAGTATTTAGTCTTACATGATACAACATTCAGTTCTTACATCCAAAAACAGTATCAATTTCAATAAGCTTAGTTTTAAAAATAAAAAGTTTTGCCTCATATTAAAATAATGTTTTGAGAATTATTTATGTTAAGTTCTATAATACAGTACATGGAGAACTATTTTAAAATTAAGGTTTTGATATATATTCAAAATGCATGGAAAAGTATTAAAACTTGCCTTTTTACTTCAAAAAGCCCTTAAAACTGTATAATGTAATAGGTTATTTGTGTACCATAAAAATAAGACTTACATGCTTATTTTCTAAGTAATATTACTTAAAAAGGATCTCGTTTGCTAAAATATATCTAAAGAAACTGTTATTTTGTCACAGAATTACATACAATCCTTTGATTTTGCCCATAACAATTTAAATACTAACAATTACCATAATTGAATTTTCAATATTTCCCAATTTTATTTTATGGAAAATAATCATGTAAAGAGTAATTACCAATAAGGGGTTTGTTTTAGCCTAATTTATTTTGGATATGCCACCAACATATGAAGAAAAAAAAAATCTGTTTACAGAATAACCTTTGTGTCACATGCACAAGCCTTATAGTGCCCTCTCCCCACTTTTCACATGAATAAACGCTGTTCACAAATATAAAAATAAAATTACACGTGAAAATGAAGTATAAACAGACAACTCTTCCCGCTTTATGAAAAATGTACACAATAGTTTTAAAATACAGAAAAAAAAGACACAATGATTATGGTTTATGAATGAAACATCAAAGAAAATTATTTCAAGGTTATTCTAACCTGGGATGTATGATTTGGTACAATTTAAAATTCTCTATATGGAATACCCTGAATCCATTTTAATTGAGTAACTTTCTTATCTTCTTTGCAAATTAAAGAATACTGTTTCTTTTCTTTTAAAAACAAAACCCAGATGGCAGGAAAAGTGTCTTTTCTAAAAAAAAAAAAAAAAAAAAAAAAAAAAGTTTTTCTCAATGCTGAGAAACCACCCTCCTATATTCTTCCTGTATTATAAACTATTATACTGTCAGATTTTCTTTAAAATTTTTAGGGATAAATAAAGTTAGTTCAAGGAAAGAAACTTTATTTTTTGAAGTCCAAGCATACTATATATAGTATGAATTAACTCCCTATATTTTATATTTTAAATCACATGAAAACTATGTATGTGATTAAGAGAATTCCAATTTTTAGATTTTTAGAAGTAGACAATGAGTCCTCTTGATTATTTCTTAGGACCATTAACAACCTGAAACCTAAAAGCTGTAGCTCAAGCAAGCAACACAATATTTAAGGATAAGAGGTCAAAATGTTTACCTGTTATTACTCACCTGTCATTTATCCCAGATGTTTCCAGAAGATTAAATTCAGAACAAGTAGTTGAACCATGTAAAATGTGGGTATATACTGCATAAACAATAGCCTCGGAGTTATAATTACTATTAATAATATATATGTTAAATACAACAGGAACAAGGAATACCCACCTTCTAACGATGACGATACTCGCGCTCTCGGTCGCGCTCTCGATCGCGGTCCCGGTCCCGGTCCCGGTGTCTCTCTCGTTCTCTGCTTCTCTCTCTGTAATAATCATCATGACGATCTCTACTGCGGGATTTATGACGCCGACTCTTTTCTCGTGATCTACTATGATCCCTTTCTCTTGATCGTTCACGTCTTCTAAAAGAAATTACTGGATTAATGCTCTCCATAATTAGATAGCTTAAAAAGATATTCAATATTTTGGTGTTTAAAAATACCTACGGCAAAAAATAACTTATAAATCTAATTTAAACTAAAATATCCTGAACTGCCAATAATGATTTACTCACGTACAAGCATGAACTAGAAACCCCATTTTTAAAAACATTCACCCGGGACTTCCCTGGTGGTCCAACGGTTAAGACTCCTCGCTCCCAATGCAGGGGGGTCCTGGGTTTGATCTCTGGTCAGGGAACTAGACCCCGAATGCCACAACTAAAAATCGCATGTGCCGCAACTAAGACCCGGCGCAGCCAAATAAATAAAAATTGGGAACCAGACACACCATGGCAATACACCATATCATCTATTACATCTATTATAACTAGCAGCCTAAAACAGACATGTGGTATTTACTGAATGAAAAGCAGAAAGGTAAAGGAGAGAAAATTTCAAAGGACTTGTGTTTCAAGCTAAAGAACATACAGAAGGTAGTTTTTTAGACACAAAATTCATGAAATCACTCAATATATAATGAGACTTAAATACATAAAACTACCACCCATTAATACATGTTACCTAAACCTATATGTAAATATCAATTTTACATTTAAAACTAGCCAAAATATGGTTCATCATGAGTGTTACCCCACTAAGAAACTTCCTAATGAAATATATTCGTAGGTATGCTTGGGCGGTGGTGGTGCTGAGGGGCATGGTGGGAAGCAGAGAAGAAACTTAGTAAACATGACCACCAGAAAAGACTGAGATACTATTCTCATTTTTATTTAATAAAGAGAAAAGTTTCATGAACTGCCTTTAAAAACAACAACAAAAAACAGGTACTTTAACCAGAGTATGTATCTTAGAAATCTTACTATTCTAAATTCTGAAATTCACAACAAGGAAATAACAACTGGCTATTAGTTTAATCTCTATTTTGTATTTCTGCACCAGACAGCTCAACTTAGCAAACATTATTAAGTGCTAAGCCTGTGATTAAAGTAGAAGTTATTATTCTGGACTTAAATAATTAAAAGAAGACTATATAAGATACGGTCTTCAGCTGTAACAAATGTGTTCAGGTCCAAACATCTTTATACTGGGTCAAAAAGGTAATAATCATAAAGTTGTGGACTATGACAAAGACAAGCTCTCTTTTCCTAACTTAATGAAGACAACTCTACCACTAGATAAAGTACACTAAAGACCTGAAAGTATCATGTCAAGGTTAAAGATCTACCTTTTGAAAATATGTAAAATTTCAAGGTTAGCAGTAATGCCAAAAAAAGGAACTGCCTAATCAAAATAAAAATACTAAGAAATAGATTATTAACTCCTTTGTTCAAGAAATATTTATTTAGCACCCAATCTGTACCAAGCACTGTTTCATCATTACAAATATTGTAGCGAACAAGACAGGTAAGGTCCTTTCCATCTTTCGATGTGTTCTAGTGAAAAAAAATGTGCATTAGTAACAAATAAGAATAGACTGTAGTAAGTATTATGAAAAATAAACAGAATGAACATGACAGAATAACCTGAGAGAAGACCCCTCTTAGCAAGTTAGATTGAGTTGAGGCATGAAGGATAAGGAGCCAGCTATTAGAGCCAGGGAAAAGGGACTCCCAGCAGAAGAAATACGAAGTACAAAAACAGCAAGGTGGGCATAAATACCAAGTACAAAAACAGTGAGGTGCGGCTTCCCTGGTGGCGCAGTGGTTGAGTCTGCCTGCCGATACAGGGGACATGGGTTTGTGCCCCAGTCCGGGAAGATCCCACATGCCGCGGAGCGGCTGGGCCTGTGAGCCATGGCCACTGAGCCTGCGCGTCCGCAGCCTGTGCTCCACAACGGGAGAGGCCACAACAGTGAGAGGCCCGCGTACCGCAAAAAACAAACCCAAAACAAAACAGTGAGGTGGGCAAGTGCTTGATGTGTCAAGAAGAAAAGGGAGACCAATGTGGCGAGAGAACAGTGAGCCAGAGGAGAGGTACACAGTGAGGCTGAAAAGATAGGTAGAACTATATCACACAGCACTTCAATATTTACAGTCTTATTCTAAGAATAACTGGAAGCCACTGAAGGGTTTTAAGCAAGCAAACATCTAACATTTGATTTAGGGTTTAAACAAAAACAATAACAAGATCACACTAGCTGCTAAGTAAACAGTAATAAGTAAAATCAAAGTCCTATAAAGTCCCAAACACAGTATTTTTTCTATTTGCAAAGCAGCAGTTTTAAACAGACATGAGACAGGAAAGTTTTACCTTGATCCAGAACCATAAGACTTGGATTCAATTCCATGAAGGCAATCTTGCAAAGAGCTAATAAGAACTTTGCAACGATCATCAGCAGATACTTTGGATTGTTTAATTAAAGAAATTGCAGTTACCAATGTCTCAATAGCACTCCCATAATCACCTGTGAGTGGAAGGAGAGGGGCCGAAGTCAAATAAATTTTGTTTTCAAAATACCACCAAACCATTTGGGGCAACCATTTTACAAAAGGAATGCACTTTAAAATCACTACAGAAGATGTCTTAATTTTTCTCAGAGTTTCACCATTCTGAAAGGCTTTAATGTACATGAAGTTAACACCACTTGTTACTATTATAGCTGTGTGAAACACATAATCATTTAGTAAATATGAGAATAAATGAGCTGCCTTAAGGTCCCTGAGCCATTAAATGTCAGGGCTAATATTTAAATTTACACCTAAAATTTTTAAATTAGGAGTTTTTCCACTACACTGTGACATACAGTTCCCTTCAATGCCTTTTAAATAAAGTATAGGTAATGATTTGTAAATATAAAAATAACTACTACATGTAGATGACCCATCTTCAAGACTGTACTTTTTAGGTCATTCCTAATAACATAAATAAGAAATGTTAATACAGAAAGAAATATACAAACCAGCACTGGCATCAGACACAGCTCTTGAAATAGCACTGCTTGAGATTGCCCTATTTCTATTCATGATTTCTTCAAACTCAGCTTCACTCAATGGTGTTCTTGCAGTATCCATTTCCCTGTAAAATCGAAATAAACCTTAAATCATACTCAAAAGATTTTCTAAATTAGTCACAATAGCGTAAAGCAATTCAAATAATTGCTTTTGACAAGTGCCTTAGAGCTAATAGTTACTTTTTCAGATTGAAATGTGATCTTTTTCCTACGAAGAGAAGGTCTAAGCAAAATTCCCTTATCTTTCAGCTGAAATAAAGTAGCAACTTAGAAACCTCCTCTTTCTGGAGGCCAGAAATTATGTACTTACATAAGTATAATATACTATTTTTCAGAGTCATACAAAAACAGATATAATAAATTGTTCTGATGTCCCGACACATATGTATATCTAAACAAAAAATCCTGACTGCAAAAAATACAACCCTACACTATCAAGGGATGGAATTTGGTTTCATTTATATTTGGATCCTCTAGGTGCCAAGGCCCAATTCATAAGAGAAGGATAATAAATGTCTGTTGGACTAATAAAATTTCAGGAGGGAGAAGACTTTAGACTTATCTTGTTTGCCACTGAATCCCTAGAAGGATATCTGGCAAATAAAAAGGCACTCAGTACCTGTAAATATTTGTTGGAAAAAAACAGTAAAATCCCAAGATTTTCTAAAGCTGCTGGACAACTTTAAAAATTGTGACTGCATGTGCAGTATAGGAAAAGGTAAACTTTTTGCCATCTTAGTTATTAGTTATTAGGTAGGATGTTGAACTGAGGTAAGCAGTAGCAGTTCATTCTAATGAAATGAGGAAACAGCTAATATAACCTTCTTCATGTTTATAAGGTATTATTGTTATTCCCAAAACTTTATAAACAGCCCAACCAAATCACAAGTTGTTCAAAATCCATGTATGATTTCAATTAATTTCTGTGACTCATACCCATCTGATCCCCTAAAAAAAAAAAAAACCCACGCAAGATAATCAGTTTTCTCCAATTTTCAATTAAAAATTACTCAATAATAACTAAAAATATATACACAAATGTATTTTAAGAAAAACTGACACTGTAGAAATTCTATTATGTTAGAAAAAAGACATGAGATTCAAATTTTAAACTGTCAAACCAAACCACCTAACCCACCCCTATACACCGAGTGGACACTTAATAGGTAGTTGCTCACTGAAATTAAGCTGAACAGGAGAAAAGTTGTGCTACCTTCCTAGTTATAACGTTTTTCAAAAGAAAACGAAGCAATTTTGGCAGTCACATAAAGACACAAGCTCTATGGTAAATAACTGTCAGGAGACTTTGTTTACAACATCAAATTTATTTCCCTGGCCCTGTGCAACTGTATGGAATTAGGCAGATGCTCAAATCCATCCCTGCAGAACACTGTCAGACAAAACAAAATACAAAGTCATTCAACAGTGATAGTTAAAGAATATAAAATCAAATGATAAACTCAAAAGAAACTGAACGGGGCAAATTCAAGTAGTTCTTAGAGATTAATCTCTAGATTATGATTTGAGTATGGATAGCTTTAAAAGTATTTTGAAAGGGGGCTTAGGGATCACTTAGTTCCACCGTGACTTCCATGCAGCTTTTTTCTAAGGATTGCCATTAACCATTTTAATTTCCATAAAGTCTGTATTTTACAAGTCTTTGTCTACCCAAATATGCTTGTAAATTATTTAATGTTCCCATTTTAATTAAAAGTTAGTAATTCTGCTACTCAGGACTCCTGATAAGCATGAGATAATCAATAGTACCTATCTAATAAACTGACCTAATTCCTAAACCAATGAAGAAACTTTAGCATTCTATGTAATGTCATCAATGGTAAATGAGATTGACTTTAAAACCTTGAAAATAGCTTAAGGATCCCATTTGCTCGCTTAAATTATCTTTATTAACCTCTTTTAACTTAAAAATGATGAAAACAAAGTGACTTGCCCTAAAATCACATGGCTGTGTAAGTGGCAGAGCTGGATTATTCCCAACCCCGTTCAGTATGTTTTTCACCATATCACACTGCTTCTTCTAAGAGAAAACAATACAAAAAATTATGTACCTGGAGAAAAGGTCATGATTTTTTTAAAACTTCACTGACAGAGAAAAATACCTTTTGCAGATCAAATACACCAAGTCTACTTTTATAGATACATACTAACTTACCTTCCAGGAGGCCCATAGTCACCCCTATCATATGGTGGAGGCCGGCCATATGGATCCGTTGGTGGTGGACCCCGGCTATCTGATGTAGGCATGCCGCTGTTAGTTGGTGGAGGAAAGAAAGCGGGGTTCACATGTGGAGCTGGTGGTGGGGCACCTGGAGGTGGTCCAGGAAGATGCGGAGGAGGAGCAAGTGTAAGGGGTGGCCCAAGAGGGCCAGGTGGGCGAGGTGGAAAGGGGCCTGGAGGTGGAGGTGGTCCCTGTTGTGGAGGTGGTGGACCAGGAGGGGGGCCGTAGCCTGGAACTGGAGGTGGAGGCCCAGGAGGAAGCGGACCCAATGGAGGCTGCCCAAAAGGTTGTCCAGGAAAAAGAACTGGTGGTGGAGGGCGATCTCCTCGATTAGGAGGCCCAGCTAAAGGAGGAGGCAGAACCTGACCAGGAGGTGGAGGACCTGGTGGACCGGGTGGGCCTGGAGGACCTAAGGGTGGACGTGGTGGAGTCTGTCCAGCTATAGAATAAAGGGGGGAGAGAGAGAGAGAGAGAGAGAGAGAAAAAAAAAACACTTCAATAAGGCAGTTTGTCTTCACGCCAAAATTATACTTTTAAAGCGTAACTCATAGACCAAGACTCTTTCTCTTTAAATGCAACCCATATGGTAAATGCTACACTAACAATTACAAAGGTGAAGTTTATCCTTACACATTTAGCTAGCTCAATTTATGCTTAAGAAAAACTACTGAAACAAAAACTTTAATAGATTACATTGCTTAGAGATAGTTTCCATCTTTCAGCGTACACACACTTCTTACAGTGAAATCACCCACCTTATAGTCTACTCTGATGCCAAGCTAGAAAGTGAAACAAGGAAAAATGGTCTTGAAAGGATTTTTTAAGAGGTAAGAAAATAAGACGGATGTAAATATTCTATATATAAGTCAAGCAAGTTTGGAGAAAAATAAAGACCTTTTAGGCCAAAAATGGGTATTTCCTCTATGCTGTGCCCCATATGCCATGGAATCCTAGTTTCCAGGAACAAAGGCCGAGTTCCTTTAACAAGATGCTTGATCAAATTTCCTGGATTCCAAAAATAGCATAACAAGGAGAGTAAGTCACATTAATAATGCATTACTTGAAAAAGAGAGAAAAGGAAAAGAGGTATTAGGTAGACACATTTTATCCATGGTAATTTAAGAAAAATTTTACCTGGAAAAGGTGGAGGTGGCCCTCCTGGTCCTGCTGGCCCAGGAAATCTGTCCCCACCAGGAACAGCCCCTGGAAAACGGGCCCGTCCTCTACCACCTTGTGGAAAGGCTGCACGTGAACTGCCTCCCGGAGGACCAGCTTTACCTTCCCCAGACATTTGTCCTGACTGTGTAGCTGCAAATATCCAAATACTCATAAATAGCATTTATTAAAATAGCTGATACATAACCACTGTTAGATATCAGAAACAACTCTATTTCAAAGTTCATTTACACTATATACTAACTTGCAGATGCCTTGGGCCTGTCCAAACTACATGAGAAGTACCAGTTTAGGAAAACATTCATATCTATTTAAGCTCTTTTGAAGCCTCAAAAGATCCAGGCTTAAATGTATTTCCAATAAGCAAACATGAGTTACTTTCAAAAAACCAGTACTCTGCAGCGGCCAAGACCAAAATTCTCCAACAGAAATCTAAATGTCAGTAAGTATAAATCATTTAAATTTTGTAACATTCGTCAGTTGAGTGTTAAGTGCTAGAACATTGAAACAACCACTTGAATTTCTGTTAATTGCCTGATCATCCATTTATCTCTTTAAGTGATAACATTTGTTAAGTGTATAATGGCAAATCTTCTCTATAGTCACTTTACTAAGTAGTGAAAGGTCTTGGTGCTAAGCAGAAAATCAACAAATACTTTCTGATTATCAATGGTTCCTCCTCCACCATAACAGACACCCACATAACTTTCCTTCAATCTAAGGATTAGAATGTAGTTTCTTCCTTTTTTTACGATGGGAATGACAGGGCTACAGAACTTGCACACTGTTGTATAATGCTGGGTCTGTGACATCTAGAGAAAAACGGGAGTAGGTTCCCAGTACACGGACCAGTCATAATCAGTAATTTAAATCAAATTCAAAGCATGGACTTTCTAAAATGGATTCTCCAATGAACTAAATACTAACTATAAATATTAAGATGACTTCTCCAATATAACATCTAACAAATGCTAGCAAGATTAGTTAAAATGTACAACTTTTAATAAAAGCCTTTGAGGGGTTGCTTACTTTTCCTGGACTGCATTTCAAATTGACTCAGGAACTGTTTATTGCATGGAGTTACAACAGGATTCTGACCATGAAGTTCTCTTTTAGGCAACAGATCCATTAACTTTTTTGAGGATGCTTCAGATCCAACACCAACAAGGGCAAACCTAAAAGATGTTTAAAGGGGTGTGGGTAGAAAGTGAGGAGGGATTAACTGTTATTACTCTTATTAAAAAGGAAATGGTCTGAATTTAATTTTACCTAAGAAAACGGAAAATATTTCTTAGAAATATACAAAGCTCACACTTTGATCTTTAACTTTTTTTTATAACAACACATCATACTACCTACTCACTTTAAATGTATAGAATTCAGTGGTTTATTTTTTTTAGCATATTCAGAATTTTACAAACATCACCACAATCAATTTTAAAAACAATTTTCATCACTCAAAAAACTCCCCATAACTGTTAGCTGTCACTCCATTTCTTCCCATCCTCCAACCCTAATGAATCACTAATCCACATTCTGTCCCTACAGATTTGCCTATTCTGGACACTTCATATAAATGGAATTATACAGTATGTGGTCTTTTGTGATTGGCTTTTTCCACTAAGCGTAATGTTTTCAAGGTTTATGCATGTTGTAGCATGTGTCAGTGCTTAATTCCTTTTCATGGCTGAATAATATTTCATTATATGGATATACCACATTTCCCAAAAATTGACAGACATTTGGGTTGTTTCCACTTTTTTCATTATTATGAATAATGTCACCATGAAAAGATGCTCAATATCATTAGCCAACAGGGAAATGTAAATTAAAACCACAATGATACCATTTCACATTCACTAACCAAAAAGACAATTAACAAGTGCTGGTGAGGATGTGGAGAAAACTAGAACCCACATACACTGATGGAAAATGTAAAGTAGTGCAGCCACTTTGACAAACATCCCAGCAGCTCCTTAAAAGGTTAAATACAGAGTTAAAAATACAATCCAATAAATCTTCTCTCCTGGGAGTTCCCTGGTGGTCTGTCTAGTGGTTAGGACTTGGCGCTTTCATTGCCGTGGCCCAGGTTCAATCGCTGGTTGGAGAACTGAGATCCTGCAAGCCTCATGGCAGAAAAATAAATCTCCTCGTGTATACGTGTACCTAACAGAATTGCAAATACATGTTCACATAAATTGGTACATGAATATTCACAGGGGCATAATTTATAAGAAAAAAAAGGAAACTATAAATATTTATAAATTTAACTTCTTTCACTAAATATTTGTCTGTCTATATGAAAGGGTGGTTCTGGAACAGTGCCAAATCATATGGGGACTACAGTGTAACCTATCTTTTTTTTCACATGCTATGCTGATGTTATTATTTACCAGTATTATTACAGAGTTCCCTGTTTACACAATTAACATATATAAATCAGGTATAATGTATTGGACCAATAATAAACTTCCCCCCAAACAAGACAAAAAAAGTTAATAGTGCAATTTAACCTATTGTTGGCTCCCAGAGAATTTGCACCTTAGAATGAAGAAGAAATGGGATGCTTAGTACACAGTTTCCACAGTCAGATCTCATCTCCATGTGCTTCTCAAAGTATGAGTAGCTCACTTTGCTTATGATAATCTATCTAGTGTTTAAAAATACAAAATTATTTTTCAAAATTAACATTTTATAAAACAGCCCCAAATTCAAGCTATTTAATCAAGTAGTAGCAGTGGTAGAAGATATAATAACAGTGTAACCTATTTAGATGAAAGAAACAATTTCCTTAAAAAAAAAAAAGAAAATATATGCTCATGCAAAAACTGGTATATGAATATTCATAGGGGTCTTATTCATAATAGCAAAAATGGAAACAACCCAAATGTCCACCAAATGATGGATGGGATTTTTAAAATGTGGTGTATCCACAAGGTGGAATATTATTTAGCTATAAAAAGAAATTAAGTACTGACACATGCTACAACATGATGAACCCTGAAAACATTATGCTAAGTGTAAGACGCTAGTCACATGGGACCACATTCTTTATGATTTCATTTCAGAATAGGCAAATCCAGAGACAGATTGCTAATGCATATGGGATTTCCTTTGGGGGTGATTAAATATTCTGGAATTAGACAGTGGTAATGGTTGTATAACTTTATAAATAAACTAAAACCCACTGATTTGAAGACTTTATAATGATGAATTTTATAGTATGTGAATTATATCTCACTAGGAAAAATAAAGTTAAAATAGAAAAAAAAAATGAATGAGCGTCAACTCACAGTTATACAATATTCTAAATTATTCTCAGAAGGACTCTTAGGAGGCTTTTCTCCCTGGTATTCAAAATTGTCCTTTGGGACTTCCCCGGTGGCCCACTGAATAAGACTCCGTGCTCCCAATGCAGGGGACCCAGGTTCGATCCCTAGTGGGGGAACTAGATCCCACACGCACGCCGCAACTAAGAAGCCTCCATGTCGCAACTAAGAAGCTGCCTACTGCAACTGAGTCTGCATGCTGCAACGAAGATTCCACATGTCACAACTAAGACCCAGCACAGCCAAAATTAATAAATAAATATTTTTTTAAAAACTAGATCCTTGGGGCTTCCCTGGTGGCACAGTGGTTGAGAGTCCGCCTGCAGATGCAGGGGACATGGGTTCGTGCCCCGGTCCGGGAAGATCCCACATGCTGCGGAGTGGCTGGGCCCGTGAGCCATGGCTGCTGAGCCTGTGCTCTGCAACGGGATAGGCCACAACAGTGAGAGGTCTGCGTACCGCAAAAAAAAAAAAAAAAACCTAGATCCTTGGGGTTCCTGGTGGTGCAGTGGTTGAGAGTCCGCCTGCCGATGCAGGGGACACGGGTTCGTGCCCCGGTCTGGGAAGATCCCACATGCCGTGGAGCAGCTGGGCCTGTGGGCCATGGCCGCTGAGCCTGCGCATCCGGAGCCTGCGCACCGCAACGGGAGAGGCCACACAGTGAGAGGCCCGCGTACCACAAAAAAAAAAAAAAAAAACTAGATCCTTGGTCAAAAAAGTCTGCTGTCTGATTCAAGATTATCTTGGGTCACAACATTTAGAAATAATTTAATTAATTCACTAATTTAACAAACATTTATTGAGCACCACCTCCTATATCCCAGGCACCATTCTAGGGTTAGGGATACAACAGTGAGCCAAGCTCTTATGGAGGTTACAATCTAAACCTAGTAGGAGACAAGACAATAAACGAGTAAAATACATCATAAGAAAAACTAAAAAAAGGAAACAGTGATGGGGGCAGAAGGTCTTGCATAGGGTGGCCAGGGAAGGGAACTCAAGCAAAATCCTGAATGAAGTGAAAGATCCCAAATGTTGACATTTTGGGAAAAAATAAACCAAAAAGAAGAAACAGTGTAAAGGTCTTAAGTAGCAATGTGTTTGAGGAACATCAGAGACTAATGTGGCTGAAGCAGCATAGGGAAGGCAAAGAGTAGTAGGAGATGAGGTCAGAGAGGTAGTGGGGAAACTGGTCTTAGTGCCTTGTAGGCCACAGTGAAGATTCTGGGTTTTACTCTGAATAAAATAGATAACCATTAGAAGATTCTGAGCAGGCAAATATTGATGTCACTTTTTTTCAACTTCTGCTATGTGTCATGTATATAGACTGTAGAGAATCAGAGTGAAGGCAGGAACACCACGTAAGAGGCTATTACAGAAATTCAAGTAAGAGAGAACAGTGGCTCGGATCAGGTAGTAGAAGTGAAGTTCATGAAAAGCAGTCAGACTCTACGCATTTTGAAAATATTCCTAGTTACTGAAAACTGGCATATTAAACAATATAAAGTAAGTACATTAAGCATATTTTTTCTTTATTATTCTGCATCTAGCAAATTACCTTTTAAAAAGTCAAAAATCTGAACCTAAAGATTTATATAAAATGAAGCCTGCCACATTATTTATAATAGGCAAAAACTGGAAACCCAAATAACCAAAAATTAGAATGGTAAAATAAATTACAGTAGCATACAAGGTATGATGGAAAGAACTTAATACATTAGGGAAGATGTATGTTTAAGTGTTAAATATTTGTTTTACTCCGTGTATCAAATACATTATAAAACCTGAGTTGTAATCCTATTGTTTTTGCAGTAAAAATTTAAAAACCTGAAAGTATGTTCACTAAAATGTCAAGAGCGATCATCTATGGATGATGAGATTGTGGCTTTTTATTTTCTTACGTTTCGACACCTGTATTTTATAATGATCCCGTAATGATCCTACCTCATTTGTGTAGTTTAATAGTTTAAAAAAATAAAGCAAAACATCCATGTTACATTATTCTTCAGTTGCCCATCTTCCACTATCCCTTAATTACAGGGATAGCAATGCTTCTTCAAACTGTCATTTCAAAAATCATTTCAACCATAGATGGAGAAAATTCAGGAAAACTGGAAAAGAGACCTAATCTATCTACACTCCCAGCTCCACTAGTTTTAGTGAGGTAGATCACAGGATACATGAAATGAGTATGAATCTTTGTCCAAGAACCTCCTGACAATGTAGAAATAAAACATCCTACACATGTGTAGTTAGCATTAACTTCAAGGAAAGTTACCCCCAAAATTGTAATCACTAGCTACTAACTTCCATTAGGGGAAAAAAAGAATTAAAACAAAATTCTTACCCCTTTGACTGGCCATTTGCCCGATTTTCAAAAAATTTTATCTCCAAAATATCATTTACGCCCAAAGAATGAACTGCTTCAGTTAAGTCTTCATCTGTTGTCCACTGCAAGATATTTCCCCCTCATTAACCATCAAAACATATCCAAGATTTTTATTGTTTCCATTTATTTTTTAAGGGTAAACTCAGGATAAACAAGAGAAAATGCTCAGTGCAAATTAAGTACAATTACTGCCAGTCAGCCTTCAATTTTTAAATAGCACAAAAGCACCTGAGGATATAATTTTATCCCTTGATAAGAGTTTTGGAAATTAGAAGCTACATACCCTTAGAGAGAACATAGATTTTTTTTTTTTTTTAAACTCTTAATGAGTTTTTGGTCTCTTCCAGCTTTCAACTGCTACAACTTTAAATTTTCAATAAAACCAATGTCACTTGTCACTTCCTTTCCTTAAAGGAAATTATTTGGGGAAATAAACTCCATCTTATGTTTCAATGCAAGATGGAAAAAAACAAAACAAAACATCTAACATGTATTGAGTACCTACCATGTACTTTATATCAACTATTTAATTCTTAAAACATAAAAGTCCTATATCACTCCCATTTTACACATGGGATAGAGAGGTTATAGAGAGGTTAAAGAGCTTTTCCAAGGTTATAAAACTAACGTATGTAAAAACTAAGATTCAGAGGCTTACTTAGCAACCATACTCTTCATAACTACATTGCTACTGTCTCCAATATTTAAAAATTGCTCAGGGGCTTCCCTGGCGGTCCAGTGGTTAAAACTTTGCCTTCCAATGCAGGCGGTGTGGGTTCAATCCCTGGCTGGAGAACTAAGATCCCACATGCCTCAGAGCCAAAAAACCAAAACATAAAACAGAAGCAATACTGTAACAAATTCAATAAAGACTTTAAAAATGGTCCATATCAAAAAAAAAAAAAAACCAAAAAACTTAAAAAAAAAAAATTTCTTCAGACTGGGTAGTGAGTGGGAGATAGATCAATTAGTTTTTTAAAAATGTAAACATTTAAAAATAAAATGCTATTAAGGAAATGGAACAGTAACAAGTTTTGATTTCTAGACAACTAAAAAATTTTCAATTATGTGTAACAAATGCTTCTAAGTAGAGATGCAAAAATTCTATAGAACTATTTTAGTAAATATTTAAGATTTAATACTAATAAAATATAGATAACACTGAACATCCAGCTAATGAAACTCCCAACCAATAATAATCCTACAGTCTCATAAATAACCCAAATTAAAATACAATGTACATAGCAGCATTTCCATAAATCAGATTTCAAATTTATGAGCAAAAATGAAACTCAACACGTCTGTAGTATGATTTAGATAATGAAAACTCTTAAAACCAGGAGGTGTACTGTGTTTCTCTCCTGCACTTCTGAATCTCGGTTTGAGACCTTTATGTGAGCATTTTTCTTTGTAAAACTGGGATAGCTGAAGTGTAGGAGTAGTAAAATAAAAAGAATTGATTTGAAGATAAAATCGAACTATATTTAACTGGAATCTCTACCAAAACAAGTTGAATGTCTACAAAATTCAGAACTAGAAGATTTGGAATTTACGATATTTTAAAGGTACTTGTATTTCCCTCCTCGTTGCATAAGGAAGCATGTAGAACCAATCTAGTAACTTCAAATTCTTATTTTATAAAACTGGAGAAAACCAACTACTGAAGCAGTTTGAAATCAATCACCTATGCTTTTATTCATATGTTAAGTCACTTACCCATGTTAGATTTCCAATATATAATGCAATTCTCTTTCCAGTATATGTATAGACAACATTTGGTGCTGCTCCTTTACCCACATCATCACCAACAGTTGGTGGGAGAGTATCCATGTAATCCCGATCTTCCGGGGCATCTCCATTATTTGCAGATGGAGAGATGACATCATCATACAAATCTATCTGATCATGCCCACCATATTCAGCTTCCTGAGATACAGAAATAATGCTCTAGATTATACAATAGTCAGACTACTACTAAACAGATTTGAATGCAAATTCATTCAACTATTTTGTTTTAAACATTTGGTAGAAGACAGAAACAGCCAAAGATCTCAGTACAAATCTTTTCACTTTATGCCACAGACGTATTCTTCTTGAACAGTGCCTATAAAGCGAATTTCTATACAATCAATCCTATTTTCCCACCGATATTTATTATAATACAGGAAATAACATTCCTCTAGGAATAGAATAACATGTAGACAAAATAAAGTAATAATAAAAAACTTTCCATGGAAATAAAATACTCTAAAAGTAACAACACATGAATACAAATAGATGGGCTTACATTTTTTTGACACAAAAATATCACAAAAATCAGAGCCATTACAAATATTTTAATATTTAACAGAAAAATACAACTATTGTTTTCTTTGGTATTCAGTATCTTGCTTCCCAACTCTGAAAGCTATTAGTTTTAGAAAAAGCATAGTGAGCTAAGCCATAGGAAAGGGATAAAGAAATGTGGGTATGTAAATGATTCCGTATGTCACAACAAATGAACAGGGGAAAGAGAAACAATAAATAAAACACAGGTTAAACTATCCAAATTAGTATCTATTAGTAGTTTCATTATTCTCCGTCAACAAAGAGTTAATGCTTACCTGACTTCTTAGTCAATTGGCAAAAGATATCTACATAGCCAAGAGAAAAGGGATACGAACAAGGATCTAGTAAAGCTTTGCCATTGTCAGCAGCAGAATTAAAGCAATGCTAGTAGATGCCACTTACATGCCCAAGTGATATGCAAGTAAGAGGTAAACGAAAAAAAAGCAAATATGTGAACAGGAGAAAAATGGAAAAATAGGGTTCAATCTGTAAATAAGCACAAGAAAAATGAAATGCAGGTACTGGCAGAACACTGAACACCATTTAAATTGCCTTTGGTAACAGTTACTGGGCCACAGGCTTGACTAGCCAGTATCAGAGGAAAAGTTCTATTTTTATCTTCCTCCCTTTCCACCGCCAAGTACCTAGATGGATGTGAACTATTTTATTCTTATGAGGTAGAATATTTGAGATAATAAGGGAAGAGAGGCAATTACACTTAGGAAACAATAAACTTAAAGAGTTCAGACATAACTCATATCATCTCCATTAATACAATTCACTAAGGATGAATACAAATGGCACATAAGGAAAAGCTAATAGTTTTAGGGACTATTATATGGATAAAGAATGACACAGAGAAGATATTTGTGATGACTGTGAACAGATCAACAAAATATTTTTATTATAGGCCCCAAGGGAACATGGCTGTTGTTTTGTTATTCAGAAGGAAGCCAGAAAAAGATTTTTTAAAAAAGAAACAGAAAAAGAAGAAAAAAATCTAGAAGGGGAAATACCACTTATAACGCATAGCCAAAGGGACCTGAAATTTGTAAAGTCATTTCAGGTAACCTTCTGCATAACGAAGTTATCCAATTTACTGATTATGTAACAGAATCTCTACATAACATTGTTAACCAGGTTGAATGTCTGTAACATTTAACAAGGAACAAAAATCTCAAGGTAAGTCAGAGAACAAAACCATCATTAGCAATGGGCAGAAACTAAGACCACAAGTCACTGCATAATGCCATAATTTTGTTTGTACAACAATACCAAAATAACCTTTGAGAACTGAGTTTTCAAAAACCAAGCAACATGATCAAATCGCAGTGATAGCAAAAATTAGAAAAAAGAAGGGTGAGTTTTGTTATGAAGTTTCAGTGTAGCTGAAGCTTCAGGTGGCATGGCTGCAGCAGTGATTCCACACACTTAAGATACTAAAAACCTTCCCGCAAGGGGTAGTGGGCACTTTAGACTCTTTGGCAATCCAGTTCTGTACATCAAGTAGAATTATTATTACTATTATTCAAAAGGAGTTGTGTTTCCATCCTCCTCAGCAGAGACTATAATCACACTATATGGTCTGAGGGAGAGTAAAAGAGAATGCAAGGGTTATTAATAGCAGCACTCAAATAAAAGTATTTAGATTTACAATTTCATGAAACAGGTTAACACAACATGATTTTTCATTAGTTGTAAATCTAGGAAAATGTTCACATAAGTAGACATCATTTACAAGCATAATTGCAGCTACACTAACCTGGTGAATCACCATGACTTACTATTTTTGTCCATCCACGAATTCCTATGTTGACACCAACCAATTTTCCATACTGATATGATTCTACCAATATTTAGGATCAGCCATTTTGTCTGGTAGCTGGACTGCTTCCAATTGGTTGAAGTATGATGCTAATTGAGACCATGGTCCTGGGGTCTGATCTCCATGTGGACTAGTTAGGTTCGCTCAGTTCCAAGGCCACAGCCTGTACTTCTAGCCCCAATGGTATGCATTTGGACTTGGTGAAAAAATATTAATGAATCTGAATACATTTGCCACCATTACTAAAATGCAACTCAAAACACATACTCTTCTGTAGTATCAGTAATCTTCCTTTTCAGCTTTAGCATATCACACCTATCCTCCAGATTAAGGAAAAAAATATATATATATATACACACAGAGAACACATCCTACTTTCTGTTCCCACTCTAAAAAGGGGGAAAACATGCACATTCAGAAATTATGGAAAATGTATATCATGGGTCACAAATAAAGAAGGTGAGCTCTGAAAGTCTATTGGACAAACTTTGTCAAAGAGAGATAGCCCACAGTGTCAAGTTCTACTATGTAGTCTTTTTGATCATTACCATTAGGAAATTTTAATGGCATTCAAAAACAACAACAACAAAAAATAATCAACATTACCCCTCTAATTATTTTAGATACCAAATACTGCCCAATTGTAACTATCTACTTTTCATAGCAGCTAATCACCAATAGAGCCGTACATTATATATAAATTCCAGTAGGCAACAGCTCTTAGGGTTTGTTAAAAAATCCACTAAGTTATTTCATTCCCTACATTCTAATTACTATAATCATTTTAAAGGCAAGGTATCCTTTCAAGATTGTACACTTCAAGATTATGTTCCTCATGACATATGAGTAGCTGTTGCCCAGTCAGAGAAAACACTTAAATTAAGATGGATAGTAAAATAACCAAAATTCAATCAGCTCCTTTTAAAAGCAGTGTTTCTCAACCTTTTTTTCATTATCGTTAACCCCTCCCTCCAAAGAATTATTTTTTAGACATACTTTCCCTAATCACCTCCCATAAAATTTTCATGTCACAGATATACTGTATACCATTATTGGGATGACTGTGGTATAGTTGTACTATATTTTCACTCTCCCTGATAGGCCCAAGACTGCTTTTGGTGGTCCTAAAATTGTATTAATACCACTCCTGCATTCTATGATACTACCACTAATGGCACAGCAAAGGCCACTTGTTCAAAGTCTTCGCAGTAAAAAAAAAAAAAAGGAAATTTAATAGTCATTTCCATTTAGAGAAATATAGCAGGGGGAAAGGTTTTATTTTGCATTTACAAAATGTATTCTATACCATGGAAGAGAATATAATATACCAGCACATAAAATCCAACAGCAAATAATCTAATACATATTTATCTTTTTAAAATACTTCACTTTCTGATTTTGTCTGTTTCAAGTAGATATTAAAATTAGTTTGTAATCCCTGTAAAAAGCTCAACTAATGGTAAGGAAGCCAACTTGGTACTAAAAATATGCCACATAAACCACAAAGTGGGCAACTGAATGAACTACTCATAAATAACAAAACTGAGTAAGAAGAGTTCCAGCTCCCCTAAACATTTCTTCTATCCAAGTTTCTGAATCAATCTCTACCTACCTCAGTTTCCACCTTACAAGCCTTATCTTAGAGGGTTCTCTATTCAACATAAATTTATCAGAAATAAGATTTCACTGATATTTGCCTAATAAACTTATTTTCCAAAATTAGCTAGACATTGGCTATAGTAGATACACAATAACTAAATATAAATTATAACGACTCATGATATAAAGGCAAGTAGAGTTATAAGCATGTCTAGGTCTCTAGCTTCCAAATGAATTTTTTCCCACTACCTATATACATTTTCATTTCAAAGTTGGATGGTCAGATTACTAAGTGAGCACTGCTATCAGTGACCTACCACCAGGTACATCAATAACTAAATGCCACATTAAGAGCTTTTGCTCCCCAAACAAGCAAAATACACACTATTTCAACGCACCCAGCATAAGCTTTCCCGAAGTTCATAGAATCTGACTTTCCTCTCCTCTGCCAACAAAAATTCTACAGATAAAGATACACATAAAGGAGTGGTTTCTATAACACATGACCTGTCAGTGTTATATTTATGTATTTGTCTCCCAATCCCACTACAGTGCACTCTAAGGACAGACTATCTAAACTTTGTATCCTTCCTTGTTGGCGTATAACAAATACTCAAGATATATTAAACAATTGAGTTAAAAAATTTAATTTAGTTTTGGTCAAAATAAAAATCTATAATTATTAAATATTAGGCTAGTAACTACTACCTTCAAGTACAAATCCCAGTTCAAACTGAATTGATACACACTATAGAGGCTGAAACCACCCACTTTCTTCTCAACTCCAAATCCAAGGTAGAGGTTTGGAAGTTCAAATTCTTCCACTGGAGCAACTGTTCTCAATTTGGTTGGTTACATGCAAAGACCTTCAACTTAAGAACCAAAAGAGCAGCTATAAGGAATAGTTGAGTCCCTTGTGCCTTCTCCCTTTCTCCAATTTCATTCTTCATTCTCCATTCTTAATTCACCTGGTGAAGAAAGGAACTATTCTATAGTTTCACTAACTTTTTCTCACACCATATCCAAATAAAAGTTTCTTCTAAGACAGCAGAATATCTCATATTTTGAAATAGGTTTATTATACTGTTCTATACCAAAACACACATGGAAAAAAAAGCATCATAAAAGTATGACCATTTAAAATTTAAAAAAATGAAAAATACATGTATTACAAAGAATTTCAAAGCATACTGTGCAATTAAAACTACAGCTCACCTTGAAGAACAAAGATTTTTTTCAAATGTTTACAGCAGTTTAGAAGCCAAAGTCATGACCCGTTATACTTAGCAAAACATTTTACTCAACTACAACAAAATAAAGAGTCATAGTTGGGACTTCCCTGGTGGCGCAGTGGTTAAGAATCCGCCTGCCAGTGCAGGGGACACGGGATCGAACCCTGGTCCAGGAAGATCCCACATGCCGCGGAGCAGCTAAGCCCGTGCGCCACAACTACTGAGCCTGCGCTCTAGAGTGCCGCAACTACTGAGCCTGCGCTCTAGAGCCTGTGCTCCGCAACAAGAGAAGCCACACTCACCGTAACTAGAGAAAGCCTGTGTGCAGCAACGAAGACCCAACACAGACAAAAAAAAGTCATAGTTTACTACAGCAACCAGCAGAAGTAATGTCAGTGCAAAGTAAGAGTGCAAAATAAAACAATCAATAATAATTTTGTAGTTGCCTCTAATTCTGATAAAATTTCAGATAAATATTTCAATGATAGTAACATTATTAAAAATGAAGAATGAACCTTAAAACCCACCAACTATCCTTATGTGGCCATATTTTAAACAGGAATTACCACAGCAAGCAGATTACAAAGGCCAGTGATATGCAAAATAATAACAAAAACAAAGTCTCTTTAATCCCATTAACCGATTGAAAAGTATAAATATCTTTCTAGTAAAAATCATGCAACTATGTGTGAAATATAATACTATATGTACAAATCAACAAAAAGTTACATTTTTAAAAGAACCCTTTAAAGCAGTTCCTCATCAGGGTCACAGAATTTTAACCTCTTCTTACCTCCTGCTCAGTCAACACTAGTTGCTGCACAGGGATAAGCAAGTATCACTACATCCAGCTATACAGGTTAGAGAAATGCCCATCCCAAATTAAACAGGCAAAAGCCTAAAAAATATTTAATTAAAAGGTTCTGAAGAAAGCTCAACTTTTAAAATTGTAGCCCAATTCTTCCTTTATTGTGGGTAGAAAGACAAAGCACATATATTTTCTTGTAACAAAGCTAATGAAGACTGTCTTGAACATTTAACTCTTCCTTTACTTCCAGATATGGACCCCTTTTCGATGGAATGTTACACTTATTTGATAAATAAAAGGAAAAGAAATTTCCTGAGAAGTCTTTGTCTACTGACCTTAAAAAAGGATTAGAATCTGACTCTGTTTAGCACTCAAGGTAATTTTCTAAACTGTCATTGACACAACTCAGGCATCATATATCCAAAATATAAACACAACAAAAAAGAAAAATTTTTAAACTTAATGTTTGATTACAGTGGGTTACATTTAAATATTCAGTCTTTATCTGAGTAGGAAACATTTAAAGCTAATTGCATTTTTTTTCTAATATTTAAACCAGGGGCACAATCATCCCTCAAAAAAACCAGAAAAGATTTCTAGTTTTCCCTATTTAAAATAAAATCTTTAGCCCCTAGTCAGAAATAAGATCCTTAATGGAAGGGGGAAAAAACCCACAAAAACACATTAACCAGAATTTTACTAAGCTTCTCATATGGACCTGGAAAATATAAGAGACAAAGCGATTAGGTGCACTGCAATTACGCACAATTTAATTTTTTAAATGTGTTACTACATAAAAGGGAGTAGAGATGTGAGCAGTAGGCTTACAGCTTAAACGTCACTACTCTAGTAACCCTTCGCAAGGATGCCCAACATCAGACATCACAGCTCCACAGCTAGTCCTTCTAGGCTACTGTGGCCAGTGAGATACCGGAAAAACCTTGCATTCTCACTTTCTCCAGCCTTTCAAAACCCCTCGGAGGACAGTAAACATTTTGCTTTCGGAAATCGGGTCATAGCTACAATCCTTTATTTTAAAACCAACACCACGTGAATTTCGGGTGAGATTCTTTCATCACACCTCTTATCTCTCGGTGAGCTACCGCCTTTTTTTGTTCCATCCAGCCCTCGGGAGTCCAAGTCTTCCTTTTCGCCCGGGCCACCTATCTTCACAGGTATTTTCATCACAAAGGCCAAGCACGAACGACTGGGCCTCAAAGGCACTACAAGCCCTGGGCCACCGAAGCAGGGAGGCAGCGAACCGACTTTTTAAACACGAGCCATGGGTCCGAAAGTCAAAGGACTTGTTGCAAACTTGCCCGCCACGAAGCCGCCTTCCCGGAGTGTGAGGGGAGGAGGAAGAAGGCGCCACGCCGAAACCTGTCGCAAACACGAGCAGGAGAGCGCAGGAAGCAGAGCGCGCGGGATACAAAGGGACGTGAATGCGGCCTTCCATGAGGCGACCGTGCGCCGACAGAGACAAAATGGAGCGACCGGAAGAATCGGAGCCCGAGCGGCAGGGCCGGGGGCGAGACGGCGGCCGGCGCGCGCCCCGCCAGGCTTCCTCCTCGCCCCGGCGGCCGGGGAGGGGGCGCAGGGGCGGCCCGTTCTCCCCCCGCGCACAAGCCGCCCCTCCGCCCAGGCCTAACACGGCGGGAAGCGCCCGCCGGCCGCCGCCAACAATGGGGAGCGAGGCAGCGGAGAGGGAGGGGTCGGCGGCGGCTGCACGGCGGCCCGCGTCCGCGCTCGGGGACCCGCGGCGGGTGGCGGCGCCTGCCGCCCGCAAGACGACGTGCTAGAACGAGGGGTGAGGAGGCGCCGCGCCTGGGTCGGGCGGCGCGGCCCACAGGCGCCAAGGGCGCACGGGCTGCAGCCGCGGCGGCTCGCGGCCCACGGTGGGCCCCGGGTCCGCATCCCGGCCGCAGCACCGCCTACTTCGGCGGCGTGGGCCCAGGGCCCTCACGTACCTGGTTGAACTCTTCGCCCACATCCGCGTAAATGTCTATGTGGTCCACACCGTCCGCCATCTTCCCTCGGCCTCGGCCGCCGCCGCCGCTACCTCCTGCAGGTCCGCCCGCCGCGGCAGCAGCAGCGGATCTAGCGGCGGGGGCGGGGCGCGCTGCGTCACTTCCGAGGGCTGAGGCGGGGGCGGCAGGGGGCGTGCGTCTGCTCCGCTGCCGCCAGTTCCGCAGGCGGAGAATCAAAACTGCACCTCGGAGGACACAAGCGGTTTCTTTTGTGTGTCTGGATTAGGCTTGGGGGGCGGGGCGGGGAGGGGCGGGGGTGGTCCCAGTCATTTCCAGAGACTGTGGTTTCACGTTGTCCCTGGTAGACTCAAGCGTTTTGTGATATTTTCATTTCTCGGTTTTTCTTACATTTCTCACAACCAGGGCTTTTAGAGAGGTGGAAGTTTTATGTCACGATGAAATACAAAGTGTAGCTCCGCTTTCTGTGAGCGCCCAGAGAGGATGTCTCACCCCTGCAACCTCAGAGACCAGCAGAATTTCGTTTGCCTTGTAAACGCTAGTTACCCGTTGATGATTATCTTTAGTTATTTGCATGCTACTTGTGTCATTTGCATGCTGTTTATCTTTCCATCTGTATCATCGGCATCGTCTTCTTTCCTCTCCTCCGCGTCCCACCTCCCCCCACCCCGAACCTTTCATCTCTCTTCATTTGTTTCCTCCTTTGAGCTGCAGTTGGTTTTCTCTGGGATAGTTTAAATGCCTCTAACTTGAATGTGGTCCCCCTCGGACCCACCCTATAAGGTGGACGTATCTTCAGGCAAGGGCTTCGCTCTTAGACTCATAGAATGTCAGAAAACTGGAAAAGGTGTCATTAAATCCAAACATCTTTTACAGTTGAGAAAGGGAACAGAGACCTAAAGAATCGGTTTTTCCTAGTGGCATGGTGGTTGGGTATCCGCCTGCCAATGCAGGGGAGCTGGGTTGGAGCCCTGGTCCGGGAAAATCCCACATGCTGCGGAGCAATTACGCCCGTGCGCCACAACTACTGAGCCTGCGCTCTAGAGCCTGTGAGCCGCAACTACTGAGCCCTGTGCCACAACTACTGAGGCCAGTGTGCCTAGAGTCTGTGCTCCGCCACCGCAAGAAGCCCGAGTACCGCGACAAAAAATAGACCTGCTCTTCGCAACTAGAGAAAACCCGTGCACAGCAACGAAGACCCAATGCAGCCAAAAAGAAATAAATCAAATAAATAAATTTATTTTTTAAAAAAAGAACCGGGGCTTCCCTGGTGGCGCAGTGGTTGAGAGTCCGCCTGCCGATGCAGGGGACACGGGTTCGTGCCCCGGTCTGGGAAGGTCCCACATGACGCGGAGCGACTAGACACGTGAGCCATGGCCGCTGAGCCTGCGCGTCCAGAGCCTGTGCTCCGCAAAGGGAGAGGCCACAACAGTGAGAGGCCCGCGTACCGCAAAATAATAATAACAATAAATAAATAAAATAAAAAAAGAACCAAAGTGGTTTAACCGGAGTCACGTGGTTAATAAAGAAAGCTTTTGCCACCAATATAGCAGTCCTCCATTAAAGAGGTTTTCAGTTACCTGGGGTCAACTGCAATCCAAAAATATTAAATGGAAAATTCTGGAAATAGACAATTTCTAAGTTTTAAGTTGCTACCGTTCTTAGTAGTGTCAAGTAATCTTTAGCCATCCCACTCCAACCAGCCCTGGAAATGAATCATCTTTTTGTCTAGCACTTTTTTTTTAATGTTTTTTTATTGTGGTAAAAGTCACATAATATAAAACATACCATTTTAACCATATTTAACTGTACAGTTCAGTAGCACTCAAATTGTTGTACAATTCTCACCATCATCCATCTCCCGAATTTTTCACCTTCCTAAACTGAAACTCTGTCCCCTTTAAACACTAACTCCCCGTTCCCCCCCACCCCGCGGCATCTACCAATGCAGTTTCTGACTCTATGAATTTGACTATTCTAGGTACCTCGTATAAGTGGAATCAAACAGTATTTTTCTGCATCTAAAGTATATTGGAATGCATTTTTAAGGTTAACTTAATATATGTCCTGCAGACAGATTGTACCTTTTTTTCCCCTGTGCTGTACAGTAGGCACTCACCAGCCATCTACTTCACACATAGTAGTGTACATACGTCAATCCGAATCTCCCAATCCATCCAACCACCCCTCCCCCCTTGGTGTCCGTACGTTTGTTCTCTGCGTCTGTGTCTATTTCCGCTTTGTAAATAGGTTTATCTATACCATTTCTCTAAATTCCACATATGTGTGTTAATACCTATTAGTCCAGGAAAAAACATTGTATACGTAGGGGTCAGTACTATCTGCAGTTTCAGGCATCCACTGGGGTCTTGGAACATATCCCCTCAGGTAGGTGGGGACTACCACACTTTATTCAAAGGTGTCTCTCCAGTTTGAAACCTTCTCCCATTCTTTATTTCTTTTTCACCTTTTTTAAAACCCACCAAGTTAGAGTGTGTTTCATAAGATACATACTGCCCAGAAATTATTCATACAATGATAAGCCAAGTGATAACTGTGCTTAATATGGTAGAAAAGCTTGGTTGGAGTCTTAGAGACCAGTCTGGTGATCTGGATACAAATTTCTAGTCAGACACTTTACCACCTAGATGACCTCCTTCAAGTTACCTATCCTCTCTCATGTTCAATTTCAGAATCTTTAAAATTGGGGTAATAATATTTACCTCACCAAGGTTGAAGGTTGATAGTGGTTTAAATGACATAGTATGAAAAATGCCTATCTGCTTCTGCTTCTTGGAAACACTGATTTCCTTTTTCCTATGGGGCTTCATAGAAAAAAAGAGCCACTCATGATAAAGGGTAAGAGCATTTTTTAGATTGGTAATGTGGTAGGTGCAATAATGGCCCATCATAGAGTTCTACATCCCAATCCCTGGAATCTGTGAATATGTTACCTTACATTCTAAAACAGACTTTGCAGATATGATTAAGTTAGGAATCTTGAGATAGGGAGATTATCCTGGATTTCCTGGTGGGTCCAAAGGAATCACAAGAGTCCTGTAAGTGAAAGAGCAAGGCAAGAGTCAGAGGAGAAGTGGGGTAAAAGCAGTTTTTGTTCTTTCAGTACGCTTAAAAATCACTCCAAGATTCTGACTTCTATTGCTACCTGTGAAAAGTCAGCTGTTAGCATGACTGTTTTTTTGAAGGTCATTGGAGATTTCCCCCTCTGGCTGCTTTTAAGATTTTTTTCTCTTACACTTTGGTTTTCTGCTCTTTTACTGTGTATGTCTGGAAGTGTATTTCTTTCTTTCTTTTTTTAATGAATGAATAAGTGGGATTTATTATAACAAATGCTTTAAATATGAGATTTAAAGTTATTGGAAGTGGATTTCTTTTTATTTATGATGCTTGGAATTCATTGGGCCTCTTGAATATATTGATTGGTGCCTTTCATAAGTTCTGGAAAATTCTCAGACACTATCTCTTCAAATATGGCTTCTGCCCCACTCTTTCTTCTCTCCTATAATTCCAATGAAATGTTTGTTAGATCTTTTCTATCCACTATTTCTCTTACCTTCTCTTTTTAATTTTCCATGCCTTTATCTCCCCCATGCTTCTTTTTTTTTTTTTTTTTTTGCGGTACGCAGGCCTCTCGCTGTTGTGACCTCTCCCGTTGCGGAGCACAGGCTCCGGACGCGCAGGCTCAGCGGCCATGGCTCACGGGCCTAGCCGCTCTGCGGCATGTGGGATCTTCCCGGACCGGGGCACAAACCCGCGTCCCCTGCATCAGCAGGCAGACTCTTAAACACTGTGCCACCAGGGAAGCCCCCCATATTTCCTTTTGAATAGATTTTTTTCTGGTTTATTTTCTGGATTACTAATTCTCTCTCCTATAGTGTTAGATTCATCTGTTGAGCTGTTAATTTTGTTTTTTAGCTTTTTTTTAAATTTTAGGTTCTAAAATTTCTATTTCATTCTTTTTAAAATCTGTTAGGATCATTTTAATGCCATCTTTTTTTTTTTTTTTTTTTTTTGCCAAAACTGTCGATCTTAGGTTTTATCTCTCTGGATATCATAACTGAATCACTTGAAGAAATAATGTGGGACATATGATGATTTTTTTTCCATAGAGGATTTTCATTTTCTTCTGGCATGCACCTGGTGATACCAACAAACCCAGATGATTGGGAATCTTGGGGAGATTGCTTTAGTTTGGTTTGCCCTTACTTCTCAGGGTACTGTCCTTGTGAAGACCAGCCCAAAATATGGTTTACCAAAATCACCACTTTTGACAGGTTCAGAATTATACTTTTGACAGGTCCTAGACTCCATATTTTGTTCCCCTAGATGTCAAAAGTGGAGTTAAAACTCTCAGCCATCTCTTTTGAATCTAAAAATGCCCCCCAGGACAAAAGCACTGTGAATGTATAGACACTATCCCCTTCTGCTTCTTGGCCAGATAATTCCTTACTCACTTCCTGGTTAGCTTTTTGATTATTTTATTTTATTTTTAAAAGTAATTTTTATAGCTTTTCATTTTAATTTTTGTTTTTATGGCCATGCCACACAACTTGTGGGATCTTAGTTCCCAGACCAGGGATTGAACCCATGCCCTTGGCAGTGAAAGCATGAGTCCTACACACTGGACCACCAGGGAATTCCCATATACAGTTTTTAAAGGTTACTTTCCATTTATGGTTATTACAAAATATTAGCTATATTCCCTGTGTTGTACAATACATCCTTGAGCCTATCTTACACCCAATAGTTTGTACCTCGCACTTCCCCAACTTTCTGATGATTTTAAAATGTTGTTGCAGGGTACATCCTTATTTGGCCACAAAATGAAACACTGTAGTGGGTTACAAAGGAAAATGCATAATAATTATGACAACAATGACAAACTTTTTCGCTTATTGAGTACTTTCTGCATAACAGTCTCTTTGTTAGACATCTTACAGCTGCTAATGTACATAGATGAAAGACAGGAGACTTGGGTTCTTGTCCTGGCTTTACAATTGACTAGTCAAGTAACCTTAGACAAGTCCTTTTCCTCAAGTCCTCCATGAAGGTCCCTCTCAGTTCTGAAATTCTGTTGTTCAGATCTACATAGA